AAGCCTCTAAGAGAAGACTCTAACGATGCAGGAGGTCAGAGAGGACTTTCTTTAAAACATAAGTGGATATCCAATAGAGAAATAGGAATTAGCTGGGAAGGCTGGAGTGGGTAATGAGAAATTAAGTGCATTTCAGGTGAAGCTGGTTCAAAGGCTCCATGGCAGAGAGAAACATGGCACATTCACACAAGTGAAAAACAGCCTTGCTTAGACAGCAAGGAGAGAACAGCAGTATGAGCTAAGGTTGGAAGGTGGCAAGGGCCTTGCCAGACAAGCCTTGTTAAGAATTTTGATGTTTTTCTAAAAGCAATAAGAAGCCTCTGAAAGGGTTTTAAACAAGAGAGTAGTATAATTGGATTGACATTTTGTAAAAGATCCCACTAACTGTAGCATGGAGAATTGACTGTCAGGAGAGTGGGCAGCTGAGAGAGAGCCAGTCATGGCCATGTCAAAATCCTAGGACAGACGATGGTGGTTTGCACTGAGAAGGGATAATGGAGATGGAAAAGGTTAGATGAATTCATATTTTGAATCCAAGGCATTTGGGAAGTACACTGGACTGCATTCTGGATATAAGGAAGAAGACAATATGAAGATCGACTCTAATATTATGGTGCAGGGGATATGATGGGAAGAGGTCCTTTGCTCCAAGACAGGGAAGATTTTTAAAAGGCCAAGTTTCTGAAGGAAGATCTAAGGTCTGCTCTGGATACATTTAGTTTGGAATGCTTGTGAGACATCAGATGACAACGTCTACTAGGCAGCTGGACATGTGGATGTAAAACTCATAGAAACCCAGGATAGAGATTCAAATTTGGGTGTCATGAAGATGGTAACTGAAGCCGTAGAGACAGCTGCAATAGACTAGGGAGAGAGCATAGGAGGAGAACAAGAAGGAACCTAAAATCAGGCTTTGGGAGCTCAACATTTATAGGATAAGTAGAAAGAAAGTTGAACTAGCAAAGGAAACTGATAAGTGACCAAAGAAGGGAGAAAAACCAGAAGAGCATAATATATCAGAATTTGTGGAAAGAGGCTGTTTCAAGAAGGGTGTGGAAATTGTGTTAAATGCTACTAAAATAAGAAATGCCCACTGGATTTAGTAACATAGAGGAAGAAAAGATCTTAGGAAGGAAGAAAAGATCTATGGAAAAATAGGGACAGAACCCAGATTGGAGTGTACTGAAAGGTGAGAAAGAAATAACGAAGTGAAGAAAGTCATTATACATACCATTAGATAATGGGGTCCAACTTCCTATTATGACAAGCTAGGTTATAATGACGATGAGAAAAAAAACCGAACTTAGAAGAAATTGTGAAATATACTGCTTTTGTGAAAGATTACTCCTTTGAATTCAGCAGAAGAGATTGCATTTCCTTTTCCTGTGACATAGTTGGGTATCATGAGTCATGAGTTCAAAAGTTTTATTATGCTACCTTCATAACTAACATGAACATGAAGGAGAGAGTTTAATTGGGACATCTTCAACATGGGTGACACACTACAGTGCTAGAGAAAGGCATGAAGTGGAGGAGGAAGGACAGGCAGAGATAAAGACTCAATCCTACTCCTTAATGTTTGTTTTCCATTAAGTTGTGTTTCACAGTTAAATCCAGATTCTCATGAATAGAAAATCACAAAAGCGGCCGGGCACAGTGGCTCAAGCCTGTAATTCCAGCACTTTGGGAGGCCGAGGCAAGAGGATTGCCGTGGGTTTGAGACCAGCCTGGGCAACGTGGTGAGACCTCGTCTCTACAATAAATCAAAAAAATGAGCCAGGTGTAGTAGCACGCACCTGTAGTTCTGGCTACTTGGAAGACTGAGGTGGAAGGATCGCCAGAGCCCAGCAGGTTGATGCTGGGGTGGTCATGAGTGTCACTCTAGCCTGGGCGATGGAGTAAGACTCTAACTAAAAATAAAATAAAATAAAAAGAAAGAAAAAAAAATCACAAAAGCAAAATGACACAAATAAATTTAACAGCAAGCAATAGAGAAGGATCTCTTTCTTAGTTTTCCAATTTATCTGGAAAGTGTATACATGTGCTAGGAGAAGGAAATAAATAAAGAGACAGAATTCCTTTGGTGAGAGGAGGGTAGAGCCGAAAAGAAAGAAAAGCTAAGTATCAAGAAATCTGGACCCTGGGGTTCTGTGTCACAAAGAGAGTGAATGAATAAGTGAACAAATTAATGAGAGAATAAATAGGCAAACAACAGGAAATAAGTATGTCCTAGGGAAAGAGTGGAGATTTTATGAGCAGGGATCAGGCCACAGATGGCAAAACAGAAACTCATTCCCCAGATAAAGAGGAAGACATCTTCTGACTCTTCTTGCTTCCTCAGGCATGTCTTTCAAACAGACAGAGAAGAGAAAAGAGTGAGGGAAAAACAAGGATGGTTCAGAGGTTGGGACCACCCACAGTGAGGGGAAATGTATGGAGGACAGGGATAGATAGAGCCTGAGTACTACTTCCTTATGAAGAGCCATGTGGGCACCTGAGCTCAGGCCTGCTGAATTCTTGACACATTTCTAAGTAAGATGGTATATCCATGCTCTGAGCCTGTGGATATTTTACCAAGTGGCTACTCTATGACACTGTCCAGGATGGGTTTGAGAGGAAGAAGCACTTACGGGCATCTACTAAATGCTAAGCACTGACCCATATGTTTTATATAATGCCATCTCACTGAATCCTCACAGAAATCTTGGGATGTAAGTACTCCCATGCTCACTTCACTGAAAAGGAAACTAGATTCAGAAAACTGATCTGCCCAAGGTCACAATGAAGGGATTTAGATTATTCCTATATCTGCATGACTCTAAATCCCACACTATTTCCAACAAGACAGAGGCTAGAAGAAACTCATCTGTTTCAACTGAGAGGGACAAAAGAAACTTTTTGAGGGCAGAGGGCAGAAGACCATATAGAAAGTAAAAACAAACCAACCCAAAAGCTGAAGAATAAAAGGATGCAGGAGATCTCTTTTCTGAGAATAAGTAGAACTACAGATGGAATTGTCTAGGAAAAAGAAGATAAAATAATCTGATTTGGGAAGTGAAAAATGCCTGGGATTGGCCAGGTTCGGTGGCTGAGCCTGTAATCCCAGCACTTTAGGAGGCCGAGGCAAGTGGACTGCCTGAGCCTGTGGGTTTGAGACCAGCCCAGGCAACTTGGCGAGACCTTGTCTCTACAATAAATAAAAAATTAGCCAGGCATGGTAGCACATACTTGTAGTTCCGGCTAGTTGGAAGGCTGAGGCAGAAGGATGGCTAGAGCCCAGCAGGTTGACACTGGGGTGGCCGTGAGTGTGACACTGCACTGCACTCCAGCCTGGGCAACAGAGTGAGACTCTGACTCAAAAAAAAAAAAAGCCTGGGATTAAAAAAAAAAAAAAATGCAAGCCGGGCTCGGTGGCTCAGCCTGTAATCCTGCACCTTTGGGAGGCTGAGGTGAGTGATTGCCTGAGCCCACGGGTTCGAGACCCGCCTGGGCAGGCGAGACCTCATCTCTACAATAAATCAAAAAAATTAACTGGGCGTGGTAGCGCGCGCCTGTAGTTCCAGCTACTTGGAAAGCTGAGGCGGAAGGATCGCCGGAGCCCAGCAGGTCGAGGCTGCGGTGGCCGGGAGCCGCCACTGCACTCCAGTCTGGGTGACAGAGTGATACTCCAACTCAAAAAAAAAAAAAAATTCAGGAATTAGGGACAGAAAAATCTGTATTTGGAAGTCAGAGCAAAGATACTCTAGGGAGAGAATAAAGATGCTGGGGACTTTGGGTTTGAGAGGAAATAGTGCTCGATGACTGACCTTCCTCTCTCTCTGGTCATGTGACACGTGCCGTATAAAAGCTCTCTACCAGCCTGGTTTCTTACCATTTTCTCCTGTGTGAAATGGACAGCAGCAGTGGCTAAAGCTCTGCTCCTCTTTCCCAGAAGCTTACAGACTTTCCTTCAGGACCAATCCCAAGAAGTCATCTATCCGGAACGAAGAAAAGGCAAGCAAGCTAGCTTAATGCTTGTCCTCTGGGAAGAGATGCAGGATCAGAATTTGAGGGGAAGGTGCTGGGGAGCTGGAGGAACTCTGTCAGAGACTGAAATGGAAGGATCATACCCAGAGACAGGAGTGAATGTGGGGGGCAAGAAAACATGGGTTGGGGAATCAGGACTGGAGAGAAGAAAGAGGGACAAGAATGCAAGGGTCCATAAGGGTAAGGGTTCTAAACCAAGTGGAAACTGAATTACCCATGAAGATGAGGAATTCTTCAATTTATGGTCAAAACGCCATGCTCAGGAGCCAGTTAAGGCCTGTGGGCTTTTCTGAATATTTCTCTAAAATCCTTCGGGGACAAACTTCAAAGGCCAGTGCTGGCTCACCCTTCCTCCCTCTGCCCCATCTCTAAGCTTCCCCAGCTTCCTCTTTACAACAGAGTTCCAGGTTCTGGTGTTGGGCGGAGGTGAACAGGTAGAGGAGGGAAAAAGGAGAGATGAAAGGAGGTAGACAGTTGGGTCGGGGGCTGGGCACCTGGTCCCATGGAGAGTCAGCACTGGGTTCGTGGTGCCTGGGTTCTCACAGCCCACTTGTCCTGAGACATCTCCCAGCTCTCTCCTCACTGTGATGCCTTTCTCTTCCATGGGTCTCTAACTGAGAAAGGGACTTCAGGAAAGCAAGCAACTGTTAACAGTAGCTTCCTGCATCTGTGAGATAGGAGAAAGGGTTAGGGAAGCTGGAGGGGGAATTCCCTTGGGAAGCCAAGGGTTGGTCTCCCCCAGAGACACATGATGGCAAACGTAATAAATACTGCTTAATATCCCGCCCAAGGCAAAGTCAATAATTGCTCTGGGCAGTTCTAGCAGGTGGTGTGAGCAAGCAGTGGTGGCAGTGGAAAGCACTGTCCTGGGAAGAACAGAGTGCCAAGGGGGACGTGTGCATTCTGAACGAGCGGGGGTTCTGCAGGCTGGGCGTGGAACCTCCTGACGCTGCCCTTTTCTACCTTCCTCCAGAATGACCCACACATGGCAAAGCGCCTTGATCCTCACAGCATACATCATCATCTTCCTCACTGGTCTCCCTGCCAACCTCCTGGCCCTGCGGGCCTTTGTGGGGCGAGTCCGCCAGCCCCAACCTGCACCCATCCACATCCTCCTGCTTAGCCTGACACTGGCGGATCTGCTGCTGCTGCTGCTGCTACCCTTCAAGATCATTGAGGCTGCATCGAACTTCCATTGGTATCTGCCTGAGATAGTCTGTGCCCTCACAGGCTTTGGCTTCTACAGCAGCATCTACTGCAGCACGTGGCTCCTTGCGGGCATCAGCATTGAGCGCTACTTGGGAGTGGCCTTTCCAGTGCAGTACAAGCTCTTCCGCCGGCCTGTATATGGAGTGATTGCTGCTGTGGTCGCCTGGATCATGTCCTTTGGTCACTGCTCCATTGTGATCATCGCTCAGTACTTGAACACAACTCAGCAGGTCAGAAATCCCAATGAAATCACCTGCTATGAGAACTTTACCAAAGAGCAGCTGGACCTGGTGCTGCCCTGGCGGCTGGAGCTGTGCTTGGTGCTCTTTTTCATCCCCATGGCGGTCACCATCTTCTGCTACTGGCGCTTTGTGCGGATCATGCTCACCCAGCCCCATGTGGGGGCCCAGAGGCGGCGCAGGGCTGTGGGACTGGCGGTTGTGACACTCCTCAATTTTCTGGTGTCCTTCGGGCCTTACAACGTGTCCCACCTGGTGGGGTTTTACACAAAGAAAAGCCCCGAGTGGCGAGTGCTGGCTGTGGTCTTCAGTTCACTCAACGCCAGTCTGGACCCCTTGCTTTTCTATTTCTCTTCTTCAGCAATGCGCAGAGCCTTTGGGAGAGGGTTACAGCTGCTGCGGAATCGGGGCTCCTCCCTATTGGGACGCAGAGGCAAAGAGGCAGCAGAGGTGACGAATGGGGACAGGGGTGTGAGTCAGGCAGAGGGAGTGCCAAGTTCGGACTTCGCCACGGACTAGCGATTTCCCTGCAACTTCAGAGGTGCCTGAGTTTACGCAGGAATTGGGCGGTCTAGGAGAGGGGGAGCGTGAGAGGTCCCGCCTAGATTCAGGGATCCTCAGACCCGATCCATGACAAGGACTTTGAAAAACCTCTCATCAACTTGGTATCCTGTCCAGACTAAAATTCCCTTCTCAAAGGAGCACAGCTCACAGACCCAAGAAGAAATAGTTGGGCATAAGAGCACCTTCAGGACAGGGTTTCAGAAGTAAGGTAGCTAATATGAATTCAGTCCTTGTGAGGTAGTTGATAGCTAGGAACCAGCCTGAAGTAGATTGTCTTAAAATAATCTTGCTACAAGCTTAGAAACAACACCTAGACACCGGCCTATCTACTGATGCTGGAAAGACACCAACAGGAAAGTGAGGGAAGGAAATACTAAATGAGGTCAAAGAAGACTCGAAAAGGTTCTGAGCCAAGGAGACTAGAAGGGAGGACTCGGGGCTTAGACCTTTAATGATCAGTTTGACCTGTTGCTTTTTAGGTGTGCTCCATTCGTTTTCATGTGTTATCTTGTCTCCCCTGCTAAACTGGGAGTTGCCAGAGGTCTGGATCTCATCTCCTTCCTCCATGGTACCCCCATGTAGGCCAGTATTTGGTTTGATATCAAGCAATGAGAGACTGACGCTGATTAGCAGAGGGAAAGCAACCTGGTCTACTAGATTGAAAATAAAGATTATAAAACTCTGAAGTGAGTGTCCACAATTTTTTAACACTTCTGCAAGCATGGGGTGGGCAAAAATGGGAGAGAGAACCAGACTCTGCAGCACAAGGGCGTTTGAAGCCATAGGAACATTTTAAGATGAAGATGTAGTGCTAGGGGGGAAGTGAGGGCACTGATGAAATCCTGTTTAGGTTGATGAATAGAGAGGCTGGCCTTAGAGAATTTGGAGCAATCCTGACTCGAAGTTACCAGTCTACCACGAGGGCTTAAAGTATGCTACCCTCCTGCTCAGAAGACTGCAGAGTCTCCCTATCAAAAATTATTCCTCCCAGCAATTCATATCATATCATTCCTTTGCCAGCTTTGTGCCCTCTCTCCCTTCCCAATTCATTTTTTGTTGTTGTTGTTGAGTTGGAGTCTCACTCTGTCGCCCAGACTGGGCGCTCCTGGCCACCGCAGCCTCGACCTGCTGGGCTCCAGCGATCCTTCCGCCTCAGCCCTCCAAGTAGCTGGAACTACAGGCACATGCTACCATGCCCGGCTAATTTTTTGATTTACTGTAGCGATGAGGTCTCGCCAAGTTGCCCAGGCGGGTCTCGAGCCCGCGGGCTCAGGCAATTCATTCACCTCAGCCTCCCAAAAGCGCGGGATTACAGGCTGATCCACGGAGCCCGGCTCCCTTTCCAATTCTATTAACACATTTCTCCACAATTAGGACTCTTAGACTGTTCTAATTGAGTTAACTGGCCTTCATCTCCTAGTCTCCTAGTCTAGTATTTTGCAACTCAAGCTGTACATTGGAAGTACATGTGGGGATGTGAAAATAATCCAGAGAGCTGCCTAAAATCTACCCACAGAATCTCTGAGGTGTGGGGTCCCGCAGGTGTGCTTTAAAAAGCTCCCCCCGGTGATTGTAATAAGCAGTTGAGGTCAGGAATCACTCTTTGCTCAAGAGCCCAATCTGCTCAAGAAATTATTCTTCAGATAGACCTTTCCTGCTTATACATCCCCCTCACCTTAACCCCATGTCCCCCACCATCTGATCATTTTTTCCCATCTTACAAAACCCTACTCAATATTAACTTTCTTCAGAAAGCCTTTCCTTACTATTCCCACCCAACTGAAAGCTCATTTTCTGCTTTCCTTCTTCAAAAGAAAGCTGGATGGATGTCACAAGAGCCCCGATTTCAGTAGTGTTTCATCTTACTAGATAGATGACCTATCTAGGTCATAGCCTCCAGCCTCCATTTCCAAATCATAGGATTTAGGAATGCAAACCTCCCAGGCCTATTCCGAGGATTAAAATGAGACTACATATACAAAATTGCAAAGAATTTTTTTTTTTTTTTTGAGTTGGAGTCTCACTCTGTTGCCCAGACTGGAGTGTAGTGGCCGCTCCTGGCCACCGCAGCCTCGACCTGCTGGGCTCTGGCGATCCTTCCACCTCAGCCTTCTGAGTAGCCAGAATTACAGGCGCGTGCTACCACGCCCGGCTAATTTTTTGATTTTATTGTAGAGATGAGGTCTCGCCTGCCCAGGCAGGTCTCGAACCCGCAGACTCAGGCAATCCACTCACCTCAGCCTCCCAAAGGCGCGGGATTACAGGCTGAGCCACCGAGCCCGGCTGCTAAGAAATTATAGAGAATTCATTAACTCTAAGATAGCGGTCTAAGTGAAACACAGATGTACCCTCATCTATCAGAAATATAAGTAAATATTTTAAATGATGGAAATAATATAGCCAACTATAGGATTATGTGGCAGTAGTATGTGAGAAAAAATCTGGGATTTTCAGCTGACTATAGGTGTACTAGAAGTCTGTGATACATTACAGTTTCCAAAAAGGCTAATTTCATGTGGTGACATTAAAAGAAATAGAGTCTAAATATGTTTATAATAGCCCTACTCCATTTAGGTCTAATCATTAGCTTGTTCAGTACTGAGCAACACGTTTTAAGAAGGACACTACCAGCCGGGCTTGGTGGCTCAGCCTGTAATCCCACGCCTTTGGGAGGCTGAGGTG